CCTTTGAGCTCCCAGCACTGCAGAGGTGCCTAGCCTTAAATTTAGCCTCACCATTTGGATAGAATCTGTAATAGCACATTGCTTTTAGCCTTTGCAGATTGGGAATGTCAGACAAACACTCATTTAAACACTGTTCAAGAGCCTCTTAACCTCACCGTAATTTCCTACCTATCAACTTTACCTGATGCTTTTAAGGACAAACTTCCTACAACGGTTTTAGCAGAAGTACGTGAGGGAAATCCACATGCATTTGAAAGATTTCTTAGACCCCTGACAACACTGGCAATTTTAAAGCCTTGTGCAACTGGAAAGAGTATGACTTGTACTTGACAGATGCTGCTCACATTGCTTAATACATTCTGGGAAGGTAGTCTGATACTCTAGCCATGAAACTGTACATAGCTGGGGATTATCACTAGTTGCATAAAAAAAAAAATAAAGGAATGAGCAGTTGCACATTTTTCTTTGTGTACTCAGAAAAGCTCAGAGCTTTTTGAAAAGCTCCTCTCGCTTTCCCCTCCTTTTCTTCTCTCTTACTCAGCACCAGCGATGACTACACGCGCAACAGGAGGGCTGCGTGACCACAAACATTACCAGCAACACTTATGGCAAGCAGGCATTCCGGAAGAGACGAAAGCAGTAACAAGCATTCTTTTATCAAACCGGACACCAAGATATTAATGACTGGCCTGTTAACACACTGCCATTCAGCGAAGCCTCCTGTACATCCTGCTTTTACCAGCTTTGATGCTCGTACAACAGTTTTCCCACATGTAATGGTTGTGTTGAGAGACAGAGCTCAGAGTAGATAGCTTTAAGAAAAGCTCCCAGGCTTGCAATACAGCAAGTTATGATTTTTCAGCAATTGTTATTCTCAGCAAATTGCTAAAGCTCGTACTGCGCGTTCTGCAACGTCCAGGGACCCGGGTGGACCACCACCGAGCTGCCTTCCAACGTACACTGCAGCAAGAACGCAGCACGACAGCACACAACGAAGTGCTACAGCCCGCTCGCACCATCCCACTCAAACCCATGCATGCGAGAGACAATACTTACAATTGGCACTTACTCATAGCTTTTAGTACTGCTGGACTAGAAATTACACGTTTCAGGTCAGGTTTAAACACGCCTTGGAAGAGCTGTTCCTGCAGACCTCCAAAGACCTATGTCACCCTTACGGATTCAGAAGGCTGACTCATTAATTCAAAAAAAGAAATGGCACAAAGGTCCAAGGGAGTCAACGAGGAACTTGATATAGCAAAAAATCCTAGAGTTTAGGACTACACAGGCAGGCACTGGGGCTGCTACCAGGTCTTAAAAGATTCATTGCACAGCGGCTTTTATTAAATCTTAAGGAAAAAAGCCCGGGGAATCGACACCTTCTAGAAGATATTATCAGCAAAGCTGAACGTTGTATGAATAAAGCCTAAACACTTAAAAGCCAGCATTTAAGAGAGGAAGCTGTTCAGCTACAGGGCTCTTGCTCGTGCTTAAGTCAGTAAAACTCATTTTTGCCCCTATTAGTCAGGAATGACTGTAGAACATATTTTGTAATAAAAAGTTTCAGGCTGCTTTTTGGAATTCAGAAAAAAAAAAAATCTGACCCAGTTATGTAAGTGCAGCCTGGTACGTGGATTACTTTTAAATCCATGCGTTTTACATGTGACTATTAGATACGACAAAAGAAAGTGGATGATTTTCTGGCAATTGGGGCACAGATGCAAAGCTTCTACATGTTTGTATTTGAGGATGTGATTGGTAAAAACTGTGAAAATACTTAAGGACAGCTTTGCTATGACTTAGATACTACGTAAAAAAAGATTACTAGGCAACTCAGGTCCAACTGGGGTACAAGATTTTAGAACTGTAAAATTGTACAGTAATAGCTAAGTGCAAACAAAAAAAATTTAAAGCTTCACAGTTTAACTCAATATATTCAAAAGAAAATTACATTGATATGGTACTTCATGTTCTTAGCAAACATTTACGCTTCATGAAAGTTACCCTAGACCATCTCTAGTTGGAAATGTCTCATTTCTGACCAGTTTAAAGCTGAGTTTGGAAACGTATTAAATGTTTACCTGTTTTCAGGAGTTAAATGCAATATACAAAGGAACTGCTTTCTCAATTAACAATTCTACTAGTATAACCACTACAATCTGTTTTTGCTGTGAGCATATCACCAGCACGCATCTAGGACCCAAAGCGGTAAACAGTTAAAAAGCACAAAACTTTTACAAGTTAAAATGAAAAGAAACAACTATATGCACACCCAGATCAGGGAGAAGGGCTTTAACAGACTCCATCCAGGAATCTCTGTACTTGTGTCTCTACAACTTGATATATGAATACCTTCTTCCATATTTTACTAGGAAAACTGCAGTGTAAAGTTAATCAGTCACTCTGGGGAAAAATGCCTGCTGCCAAAAATTCACCTTTTTTTGAGGACAGATAACGGCAGAGTTAATGCTTATTTTCAATTAGCTCCATCTATTTGAAGTCCCTGTTTAAACACAAAATTAATTTTTTATACTTAATATAATGTAATTACGTTTTGCAATATTTTATAATTTTAAAAAGCCTTCCAGAATCCAGAGTTCAGATTTTTCAATGTTTATTATGAATCACATTCACAGTGCAATATAATTACATAAAAAGCTATACAACAAACATACAAAGACTACATGAAGCACGTACCATTCTGTAATGCATACAATACATGATGCTTAGGCTAGAAGTGCTCTTAACACCTGTTAGCAAGAAATTGAAATCAAAAGATAAATAATTGGATCGAGAAACTCCTTCATTTTTTTTTTTTTTTTAATTAAAACCTCTTTAAGTTGGTAAGCAGGCTATCAATGTAAAAAAAATAAAAGCAACACACTGATCTTTCCTAGCACGTAGAAAAATTTTTCCACTGTTTCAAGCCTAGATTAATTTTCATTTAATCATCCTGTCCTCCAGCAAAAGTAGTCACAAAAATCAATTTAACACTTTGTTTCCAGAGCGGGTTGATGATACAAAAAATAAACTGTAAACATACATATAATCATGTGTCAGCGTACAAGTTTGGAAATATTATATGTAAAAGTTTAGGGACCAAGATTGTCCGATATATGCACTGCTTAGCTAAATTACACAATGACAGTTCTGAAGCACATTACACAATTTTAAGGTACTGTCCATACCAGAAAAAAATACATTTACTGTACGTGTCTAGAATAATTCCTGCAAATGTTCACTGATGAGTTGCACCAGCACTCTGGAGACTGATCTAAGATTTTTAGCTGTTTTCACAGCCTCTCCTCACACATATAAAAAGAAATTCTGTCTGGCGAAGTGCAAATAAGTGGTAATTTCCACCACTAGTCAGATTCTGGTGGCAGTTTGATTTTATTTCACTTTGTCAAATAAGAGCATTTCACAGAAGTGACATTTTTCTTACCTTCAGTACATCAACGTTTAGTGACTTCGGGAGATATTCTTCCTTATTTAATCTACGCATAACTTTAACAAGAGGTCCTAAGGACATATTCTTGATACATAGTTTAAACCAAGGGCAAGCACTTGCCTAGTAGCAACAAAATGACAGCTCAGAACATCTCTTGGGCATGACAGAATTATGAATTCCGGGAGAACAGATTCTTTCATGTGCTAATTCTAAAAAATTAAAGAGAGATGTGTTTTTAGCCACCCACTTTTGGAGCTCCAGAGCTGTGAAACTGCTGAGCTGAGACTCATTTTCAGCTAAAAGGCACAAGATCTTCCCTTTTGACAGATGACCATAATGAGAAAATTACTGCTTTAGCACCTCAACACAGCCTCAGTCCGTTCAATGGATTGTAAAGGCTACATAAACTGGCAAGCCACAACTTTAATTAAGAAATTTGGTTTTGGGCATCTGCACGCACAATCTGTTCAAATATTACAGAGGGCTTGTAAACCTGGACATAAGCTTTAAGTTTGTGCAGAAAAATCAGTAAGGATGTAATATGCAAAAATAAATCAATCATGTATTTAATATCCGTATAGATTTGCATTCTAATATGCACCATATAGCAATAAGCACGCTAACTGATCACTATTCAAATGCATTTCCCAAAATGCTAGTAGCACTTCTTCGGTCTGTTTTTAGAATTAATCCAAAATAAACCCTACAGCAGCGTGTAGTACTTTACAGCCACATTTTCAGTACTACTACTGAGTGTAAAACCCTTCTCCTGAGGTCTAGCGAGGAAGAGCTCTTTTAATGCCATCAGAGCCCTTCTCTGACTCCTGGTTGCTGTAGGTCCCTCTAGCAAACAACCACCATGCCAGAGACTTATTGCTCTGAGTCCAAGGGAACCTCATGTATATCCCATACATGACCTGGGAATACTGGAGGCAGCTGTATCCTCAGAGACTTTGAGTGGACCTTGGAGCATCTTCAGCAGAGCAGTCACGCTCAGAATTTACCTCAAAGCAGAAGAGCGTGATGAGTGCTCACTCACCAGAATGCTGTTACGACAACTCTCAGCATAAATGCTGCTGCAAACAACTTTATTCAAAAAAGATGATGAGGCAGAATAAGCCAGAGGTACATTTTGTAAGTCACGCACGGCTTCTGAAAGCCTACTATAAGAAGAATTCATTTCAGACTAGGCTTTCAGAAGAAGTCAATGACTACAGCTTCCTCCCTGGCCCCCAGTGAAGACAAATTTGCATGTGGGAAAGTTTTGAACAGCGAGTTTCACATAAATGCACTTTCTAAACATTGTGTTGGAGCTAAAGATAACAATTACTACTGCATCCAATTTGGATCAGCATTGCACTTTTCATACATGTATTAGCGTTAGATGTTGACAAAAAATATTCAAGTGTCAACAGAAGTTTAGAAATCACTGTAAAAAGGTAGTAGAAAACCTCAATTGTTTCTGGAGTTGAAATAGAAGTTTCAAACACAATGCACATGGGGAGCTATGCCATTTACTCCAGTTCAGGTAATACGGTATTAAAACCACCAATAGCTTTATAAAAGGGATATAAGAGAAATACAAAACCAAATGACAAAAATTCTCAGATATTACTGCAATATCCAAGTCAAGTGACATCCAAGTGCAGAGACAAACCGTATGTGAACACCTTCATGTCAAACTTCACATTCCCATCTGCATGTCAGCAAAGTTGTAGAAATTGTCTACATCTTGAGATGCTGATGCCTTGCTCTCTGATACAAAAACCTGTTTTATTAAAGAAGAAAATAGTTAGACATCACTAATAAAGAAGTTCAAGTAATCTCTGCTCATTCGGAGCCAGTAATGGTGTCCTGGTTTGGGCTAACACAGAACTAATTCTGTTTTAGTGATTTTACTTTTCAGTTAAGTCTCTTCTAAGTACAGGCACTTTCTGAAATCAACAGCGTGTTTTTCCAGACAGTGACTGCCTCTAGCAGCGATAACACTTGATGTTTATAGTTCGTACCAAGCAATGTTATGCAGAGAGGCCCTTGCTTATACTTGTTCTTACAGCGACCAAGGTCACTGCTAAATCTTGTGCCCCATGTGGGGTGCTGGGAATGAAAAGGGTCACAAGCACGAAAGAGGTCGGACCTGCAGGGAGGAGCGAACCGGACAGGTGACCCAAACCTGGCCAACAGGGTATTCCATCCCATATACGTCATATTCAGTATAAAGCTGAGGGATCACAAGAGTCAAGCTCTCTTCAACAGCCAACATCCAAGGAGGACTCTGTCCATTCTTCTGTCATCAATCCCAATTCATGCATCCCTGAATCCAGTGCCTGAGTCCAGCCCCTGCATCCAGTTCCTGTCTGATGCCGAGTCCAGCCTGGGACTGCCCCAGTGCCAGCCCTGCAGCCTCATTGGTGATGAATCATCATCAGGGTGGGTTCGGTATTGGTTTTGTATATATTTCATTATTTTCTTATTTTTATTATCTTTTCTTTTACTGTTATTGTTTCATCAAAGCAGTTTTAGTTTTCTTTTCCAACCTGTCAGTCTTTCTCCCTTCCACTTCTGGGGGAAGGGAGAGAGGTTAATAGAGAGGTTAATCTGTCATTTGCTAGTGGCCAGCCCAGCCTCAACCCGTGACAAACGGTTATTTTTATTTTCGCATTTCATAAGAGGCAAAACTCAATTGGTTTCCACTGTGCAATAGAATAATCCTAGAATTCTCTCAGCCCTGGTGGACCCTTTGTTACCATCACCTGTTCCTAGCAGACACCATACGTGCAGTAACCCTAGCCTTCTACTGATGGGAATTAAAAGGTTTGGGCTTAATTATTCAGGGTTCACAGCTTCAGCCAGTGTCCATTTAGATGTGTTCTGCTTGGTAAAGTCATACTCTGTCCAGGACAGAGGGGAAAAACAGACAAAACCCTTAGACTACCATTAAGCTTTCCTTTAACAGAAAGACAGAGTTTGTAAGAAAGACTCCCTTGAACTACATTCCCCTCAAAACACTTGCTTCTTAAGGAACTTCAATTACATTTTCATTTTGCAAAATTGATCAGCACATGTGAAAATCCACGCTGCAGGACAGTCATCTTTGAAAGCTTCCAGCAAATCAACTAGAAGTGCTTCAGGCAACACCTAAATAGTTCAGTGTAACAGATAGCGTGTGGCTGTTGGAAATCCCAACATGTAAGTGACAGCCTCCATCAAAAACCTAAATTGAGTTCTTACTATCTTACATTTTCTGTATCTCAAGAGGAAATCATCACTGTGTGAGTGTTGGCACAGGCAACTCAGCTACTTTGAACTGCACTGTGTCGACAGGAATGGGTTATTGCAGATGCCTATGCTCCTACAGTCACCACTTTCCTGCTTCAGCAAAAATACCATGTGAATGTGAACTATGATAGTCCCTTGAATTGGTAAGTTTTACGACGAATATCCTGTTGTCCAGTAAATTTCCGATTTTAAAAAAAAAAGATTATATCATCACAAAACAAGTAGTTTCCTAGACTGTTGCTTGGATGCATGGCAGACTTCCGTTTGAAGGGACTTGAGAACATCTACTAGTTATTTGGCCGTTATTTGGTGCGACAGCGATTGGTACCACGGTCACAACAGTTGAATACCTTCTTTCAGCATCCTTCCCTACCGGGATATTACAATTTACATTCTGCACAGTATTTTATAAGTGATGACATGGAGAACAATACTAGAAAGCATGCCCAAAAAAGTGCAGAAGGTCACAACAGAAAGAATGTCAGAGGTAAAGAGTGCAGACGTACCTAGTCCATACAAATAGGAAGTCTGCTTACGTCCACAGTGCAGAGCTCTCCTCGTAACAAGTTGTTTCTACCAAAACAGCTTAAAAAATTCTGCTATTGCTGAAGAACGTGCCTATCCTTACTAGAATATCTAGAGTTGTTTATCAGACTTACTTCAGAAACAAAAACCTGGTGAAATTAAGGTTATTAACAGATTAATTTAATCACAGAATGGTTTGGGTTGGGAGGGATCTTACAGACCACCTAGTTCCAACCCTCCTGCCATGGGCAGGGACACCTTCCACCAGACCAGGTTGCCCAAAGCCCCATCCAGCCTGGCCTTGAACACTGCCAGGGAGGGGGCAGCCACAGCTGCTCTGGGCAGCCTGTGCCAGTGTCTCACCACCCTCATAGTGAAGAGCTTCTTCCTAATATCTAATCTAAATCTCCCCTCCTTCAGCTTGAAACCGTTACCCCTCGCCCTATCCTCACAGTCCCTGATCAAGAGTCCCTCCCCACCTTTCCTACAGGCCCCCTTTAAGTACTTGAAGGCCACTAGAAGGTCTCCCAGGAGCCTTCTCTTCTCCAGGCTGAACAACCCCAGCTCTCAGCCTGTCCTCACAGGGGAGGTGCTCCAGCCCCCTGATCATCTTCATGGCCCTCCTCTGGACCTGCTCCAGCAGGTCCACATCCTTATGCTGAGGGCCCCAGAGCTGGATGCAGTACTTAATCTTTAACTGTGGTTTTCGAACGCAAATTCAGCCACCTGCTTAAAAGCAGATTAATCTCCTGCAAAGTCTTACAGGATATGTGTCTTCCTAAGAGCTTTTGTCACTCTTTCTTGAGCAAGGATACCTGTAATTCTTTCTGAGCACTATAACAACTTTCAAACATAAGGGCATCCAACAGTGATGTGAAACCACCTTATACAGCATTCCTGAATCTTCTGCTAGTAATAGGTCTGATGTTCGTTACTCCCTAAATTGCTTCTAAATTATGTTCCAAGAAAGAAATAAATTTTCTAAAAAAAAGGTATACTCATGATATTCAATTATCTAGTGATCCATGCACAAACCCAGTGTTTGTCATAAGTTTTGGAGTTACATTTTATCTAAATAAAGATATATATTTCTCAGGAAGCCCAAAGTTTTGCTTCTTAATTCAGTGCATCAAGTATTTAATAAGTGAGCTAGATTTTACTACGGACCAGGCTGTACCCAGAAGTTTCAACCCAGATGCAGTAATTCACATTTGGAACTGAACCTGAACACTACAGATCACCTCCAAGAACAACGCTTGCTTCACAACATGAAGTGCACAGTCTGAGGTTTCTGGATGCATCTCAGATCAGGGTGTTCATAGTGTTATAACAACAGATACCAGTCATTTTAGTAACAAAAATACAAAATTATTTGTTCTAATAACTATTATCACTTCAGTCTCTGAACAGAGAAAAAGATCGAGAAGACTCAGTGAACTACCTACCCAGAACCAGCTTTGTTCTGCTTAAAAAAAAAAAAAATGCTAACCGCACTAAAAAAAGCCACTGTAAGCTTCTGCTTAAAAAGGCCATTTTAATGGTAAAATTTGCAGTGCTGACTTTCCAGTGACAAGAAGAATCAGTCATATCACAACACTGCCCAGACTGTAGTTCTAGTACTCTCCAGATTCAGAGAGTGAAATTAAGGCCCCCTACATGTGAGGTTTTTGCTGGTGCAAGAGCAAACGTGAAAAACGCAAACATTAGCTGCATTCGAGATGACTTATTACAAGACAACTGTTTTTCCAGAAACCAGGCAGTTTAGTTACGAGTAACTCTTTTGAAAGGAACTGAAAGACAGCAAGAAGCCGTATGGACATTATGTCTCAAAGACATTCTAGCCTTCTTTGAACAGCTGCTTGAAAGCAAAGTGTTTGTCACTCTCCCTTTATCAGGAGTGCTCTAATTGCTTCCAGAAACTTTCTCAAAACCATTGCCATTCAGAGAAATAGGGACAGCAAGCAAGGAGGGGGTGTGGTGTAAGGAAGCTACAGTAAAACAAGCTGGCATATTTATGGAACTTGATTTTACTGTTATGTGAAATAACAGTTTTAAGTGGAAATCTTCTATTTTTCAATGGATGTGGGGATTTAGTACACTTTCCTAGGGCAATTTTTCTTGTCTCTGACAAGCAACTTGAGTTTTGAGTACCAAAAAACCCCCGAAACACCAACAAAAATTAGGATATTCAGACTTTACTGTTCAGAAACCTGAAGATCGTGCAGTACATCAACACTACAGCTTGACCATGTAGTACCCTAGACATTCTATAACATTGTTTGCCAATAAAGCAATACACCAACTTACCTTGGTCCCGCTAAAAACATCATTTATAGTGCTTTGACATCCTTCCACAGCACCATCTCCACTGAACTCCAAAGCAACTACTGGACCTAGAAGACAGTTTCATCTAGAATCAATACTACTTTTAAGCTTGGCATTGAAACAGTAGATTTCTCAACCCATAGGGAATTGTGAAGCTTGCAAGCAGCGTTTTATGGTTTTCGCTTGAGCAGCCATAATGCAGGATAAAGAATTAAAAACACTTAACCATAGCTGCAAAGTACAGTGTTATCAGAGAAGGAAATATCTGCGATTCCATGCTCATTTTTGCAGAGATTCTGGCAGGATTCCAGTTCTACTTCTTGCAAGGCAGCAACGGCACAAAAATGCTAAGGAGCGCAGGGCATCATGGAAGTGAGTCAGATTCTATTGCTCAAATAGTGAGCCATTTCACAGACATCTGGAGTAGGACTGAGTCATTCAGGCATTTTTGCCTCAGTCTCAAGATAGCAGACTGCCTGATTTTTAGACCTGTTCTCACCCACTATTTGCAAATCCCCTTTCTCTGGTTTCATTCTGAACATGGTACTTCTTCCCACACGGGTGCAAAATAGCCCTTAAACTAGACTGTCATCTGATAAGTACAATAACTTTTGTCCTATTCTTGCAATGAGTATCACAGACCTGTTATGTTACTACGAAAAAAACCCTGCACGTTGCTACTAAGTTTGGGAGCGTGTATTAAGCTTTAGCACAGAACAGATGGCAAGATGTCAGTAATTCTGCAGGAAGAGACAAAGACCAATTACAGTCAGATCAATAAAAAGGCTTTTGAAATACACTGACAGCACACCAGTTATAAACAGGAATTTAACACCTGCCTGCTTTACACACATCTATACCGATTTCCTTAAATACGTATACAGAAATACTGAACATCTAGGTGGTTGAGCAGCAATGGTGGTAAGTCAGAAACAGTCTAAAAGCATGAGCTTGTTTTGACCACCTCAGACAGATCTGCATGTGCCATCGCTCCTGAGCTATGCGGCTGGACCACTAGAGAGGGGGCAGAGCCACAAAATACATATGTAATAGTCATTCCTTGTGCCTTCAGAAGTTTTGGCTGGTTTAGGGCCTCATTGAGGCTTCCAAAACTAATCTCAACTGGCTTTATACTATGGGCTTGAAACACAAATTTCTCCTTCATTCCTCTTTCCTCTCCAGAACTCTCTAGTGACAGCTAGATTTCTCTATCAAGAAGGGAAAGAAAACAACACAAACTCACCTTTTTCAAGCAGTGGAATGAATTCTGATGCACGCTGCTGGAAAACTCTGTGAGCATCCTCTGCCTTCATTGAGACTTCTTTAGTCTGTACTAGCTGAAAGCCTTTACCAGTCATCTGTTAACAAAGAAAGAATTCACGTTAAAAACGCTTCTAAGGCAGAGAGTTCAGCTCGAGTATCCAGGTTACACTGGAATAGACACATTTTCACCATATACATTAAGCCACAGAGCAAAGGGACCCTTTTTGCTCTTTTCAAAGACCATTTACTTTTTCTACATTTCTGTTTATTTTCATTCCATTCATCCAGATTTTCTCCTCTGCCCTAACGCACCTAGAGGAGTAAATGTGGATGCTTTTGTTTTATATTATGGCCCAGGGTTGTGTTCTTTTCTCCACAATCCCTCACAAGCTGAAACTAATGGGAGTGAAAAGCATTCAGCATCTGGAGTCAAGCAGTTAGTTCTCATTAGTCTGCAATAGTTCAGTCAAGCATTAGCTCAAACTCTCGTCTATCCACGGCTGAAGTTTTCCATTTTGGAAAAATAGTTACAAACTTTCGAACACACACAGCTTTTTATTTCAAATCTAATACAAAACTAAAAGCATGTGGAGAAGGAGCCACTGTATATGTACTTCCAAAACATCCGTTACTCTACAGAGCAGTAAGATTTCCACAGAATCTAACTCGTCTTTTAGTGTCTTCTTAACTCTAATTTCTGAAGAACAACTAACACAGGAGAGCAAATCTATTCTCCTTTTTACTGTTGCTCTTCCTTCTTCAGAAGAAAAAAAACCCGTAAGTATCAGCATCTCCCTTGACCCAAGCAGCTGTTAGTAACTAAGTTCCATAATAATCAAACTAGGCAGTGGGAAGGCATAGAAATACCCTAC